AGAATAAAGTGTACCGCCACACATTTGCTCCACCAAGCACATTCGCCGTCCCAGATGTTCGATTCCACCACGTCCACTTGGATTTAGTTGGTCCGCTACCCCCTTCACGCGGGTACACGCATATCCTGACAGCGATTGACCGATTCACACCATGGCCGATTGCCGTTCCCATTTGGGGTACCTCGGCAGAAAATGACGCCATGGATTTTCTGACTCACTGGATTTCTTCTTATGGTGTTCCAGCCACCCTTACTACTGACCGCGGGAGTCATTTCCGATCTGGCCTCTTCCGTGAGTTCACTAAACTGCTCGGGTGTGCGCACATCACAACCACGGCATACCACCCTGCCGCCAACGGCCTCGTCGAGCGTCTACACCGTCAACTCAAGCTCGCACTGATGTCCCAAACGGAATCAGCTTCTTGGAGTGACAACCTCCCTCTTGAGCCTTTGGGCATCCGATCTTCTGCCAAGGAGGACATCCAAAGCACTGCCACCGAACTTGTGTACGGTACACCCCTCCGTCCACCCGGCGAATTTGTGCAGTCTTCCCCGACTAACACCAACATCCCGAGCACCTTCGTACAGCAGTTGACACAAAGCATGGCTCAACTGCATCTAACCCCCACTCGTCTGACATCGAAACGTGTGTTTGTGCATGAGGATCTTAAATAGAATAGAATAGAATAGGTTTATTGTAGCGCCCCTTGGGTACTGTCAGTCCCCTTTGAACTCAGGAAAAAAACCTAAAACAAACTCGTCAATTTCAACTGCTCTTTGACTTCATTTTCTTCGGGTGTCTGGTTAGCCAAAAGAGCGCGAATTGAGAGTTTGTTTTAAGTTAAAAAAACCTCAGTTCGAAGGGAAAATAATAACAAAACTTTCAAAAAATAACGATACGTACAATATAATAATTGAAGTTTGCAGTTTGGTGGTTTTCGGGGGCATGAATAATATGTCCTTCATGGCAATTGAAGAACTTTAATATCGGCCTGACCTTGAAATTATTTTCTGCTCCATTGGTTTTCGTCCGGCATGACGCGATTCGCAAGTCTCTTTGTTCCCCGCATGATGGCCAGTATAAGGTTCTTCAGCGGATGGACAAGTATTACGTCATACAGGAGGCTGACAAAACGGACACAGTCTCCATTGACAGACTTAAGCCAGCCTACCTTGAGTGCGTCCCGTTGTCAGTTGTGCCACCGACATCCTCAGCACCGTCCTCACCCGATTCACCCGTTTCGGTCCCATCCACTCAAGCACCACTCGAGACCACCCTATCCACACATCCTGATTCTCCTACCACTGCACCACGCACCTCATTTCGTTCTGTAAGACATACCAATTTTCCTGCCAAACTCAAGGACTTTGTATGGTAACTTTTTGCACTATTTTATCGAGCGTTTTTTTGTACAACAAACGCTCTGGTGGGGACTTGTGTAGGTTTACGCACATTTTCGATTTTTCACTCTAAACTTTCTTGTACACCTGAAGGTTTCTGTACGAGTGTTTAAATTAGCTAACAAATACCACTTGGTTTCGACATGTGAAAAAGCATGACTTTTATGTCCGTCTGCCTTTTGGTGTCATTGATGCGTTGATTGCACTCATTTGCCTCAATCGGTTTTAGTCAATCGACACGAAACGTTTATATCTTTTGGCCATAGTTAACTGGACGTAATTTCACCTGAGCGACAAGTTTCATTCATTGACTTCGCCTCGGGATTTTACCCAGAACATTCACCCTACGGCAAACGATTCGGGAGAAGGCTTTATTTTTCGTGAGACTGTAAAATTATTTACCATTTGTCGTTTATCCGTATACTCATTTACCTATCGTTATTTCTCTTGTATGAAAAGCAGCACCCCCCACTTAGAGTAAGGTATTTATTATTTGCTGTAGTTTAATTGCTGTTTACACTACTAAGCTCTATATTTTGATCCTGTTGCATTCTGGTGATTAGCGTTGTCAGTCTGCCTGGAACACGTAGCCTCTTCGTTGACTCCAACGCCTATGTTATCCGCGCAGTCCAATATATGGTGCTTTGGACGCCATGTCGTGCGCGGTACGTGCGGATGAGCTCCCTGGATCTACCACCCACTTACGC